ATGTTACAAAGTTTTGTGTCACTTTTTAATATAAAAACGTGTTGCAACTTTATAACTTTTTAGTAGTAAACGTATAATCTCATTTAAGAAGTTGTTACCAATTTTATAACTTTGAAAAAAAAAAACCCGCCTCGGTGTATCTTAGCTGGAGAACAAATAGGTATCATTAGTTTGAAAACAATACTGAACTGACTAAAATTATATTACTTAATATATACAACGTTTTTGTCTATATACATAAATGTATCTATACATAGAAAATCAGAAGGTAATTTTTAGCTATTACCAATCAATCTGTGCACCTAAAGTGTATTGAAGGTAGGTACTTAGTTCAAGTTCAACGGTGTATGGTTACATACTATATTATATTACAAAATATTCAAAACACGGCCCATGCCAGATTTATTAAGGAGGAAATTGTTTGCATAAATTGTATTTAGACATAAAATTATGTTGAAAATTTATAAGAATATTATAATATTCTTTGTTTGTAGTTGTTTTTTTTATCAGGTATACCAGAGTCAACATAAGTGAAAAAATCATATTTTTCTTTCAGTGTGAAAACGTGTGTACCTAAAAGCCTTGTGCAACGTGTTTTTCTCACAAAATTATGTTTTTATACACGCGCAAAATGGTTACTAACATTAAAATTACAAAGAAATAGAGAGATTTAGGTTTTTAGGTTTGTTATAAACGAACAAATTGAGTTAACGAGTAAATTAATCAAGACTTTAGCGTGTAACGTTACGCAAATCTATTAAACGAGTAAATAAATCGAGATTATTGTATTGTTTATTATTATTTGTTATTTTGTAAATATAGTTACTTATTTACACGTTTAAATCAAATTAAAAAGCCTAAATTATTTTTAAAAATGCTCATAAAAATGTCGAAAATGATTTTTATTCGACTCTGTTTACTTGGGAAAACAATTTGCTTCTTAGTAAAATTTACTTTAGTATAAAATATAAGATGAAAAACGGAGGCGAGCCGATCTCGTCCATTTAACAATTCATACACTCGAACTGTGTCGAATTAAAAGCAATAACTTTCGACCGTAAACGAAACAGACTTGATATTATACTCGAAGAATTATTATTTCAAATGAAAAGTTACGATGGAAATGTTCGTACCGTCTCTCTTGTTAAGTTGGATAATCCAAAACCATTATGTATATTAAATTATTAAAACAGCAGCTTCTCCGATCGTCTGAATTCAAGTTGTTTTAACACTCGGTTAATAAAATACAAAACACTCCATTGTTATAATATGGATAATAGTAAAAAATCGATCAGTCATTTCCCGCCAATTCAACATTAAAACAAAAATACCCGATAAGTAAAATACAAACTGTAATCCATTCATAATCGCTTAATATAGTTAAACATTTAGAAAACAAAACCATTTAGTCATTTATTAAAATATGTACCTAATTACAATTAACAAATAGGAATAGTCCACAACGTTACAATTTTTATAATTAAAAACTTTTAATCGTACCTATTTTATTAATAAAACATTAGAAATTAAAAAAAAAAACATAAACGTTCTTTAATTAGCTCTATAGAAATAAATGTAATATGTCCACTCATAATGTTTACCATTAGGTATCCCCCCCCTCACTTGACCCTAAATACTAATTAAAAATACAATTTACATACCTACCTAATATATAATATAAAGAAATTAAAATTATAAAAATGTATTTAATTATTTTGAGGTGCCTCTACTTCACTTACCTCCTTATGTAAAAATATACTGTTAAGTAATGACTATATACTGTAGCAATATTTAAATGTATAGATAATTACACCAAACCATTAGTTCATTATATGTTTTAACAAAAAAAAACAAAAATTACAGTGGATATATCTTTAAATAGCTTTCATCAAATAAAATGCAATTTCAACAACGATATAAGCTATTATTTTTAACTAATCTACTTTTCTTTTGAACTTTAGTGTATAATTAGTAGTTTATACCGTCGAGAAATAACATTTCAAACAAACTTTATCTTGTACAATCTACATCGTCTTTGTGCGTAGGTACGTGACTGTGTATTTCTTAGTTCTCTCATGTTTCCTAACGGCTAACGGATATTAAAGGAAGTTTCAAGTTTAAGTTTTAGCAACTATACTCTATAGTACCTATCTGCTGTTATAATATCATATAGATCTTTTACCAATCATAGCCGAATGTTTCATAATTTAAACTTGCATCTATCCAACTATCGTAATAAATCATTCATCTTAATGATTGTTGCACATTGTTTTCAAAAACTCAAACCTCAAAAATATCGATTACAATTTTTATTCGAGACATAAGTTATTAGCTATAAATTTCTCATTTCTCAGAGAAATAAGTACCTATTAAAATTCGTTAGAATTACTGAAAATAGAAAATTCCTTAAAAACAGTTGATGAATTTTAGACATTTTCAATATTTATTTTTATTTTTTTTCCAATTTTATTAAACATTTTTATAAGTACGAATATAAATAAGTATTATATGAGTGTGAAATTTAAATAAATACATTTTATTTTTCTAACGATATGTATAAAAAGTAAACAGTACAAAAAAATACTGCGTACACACGTTTCTATAAAAAAAAGACCATTTTCTTAGGGCACCCCACAACAATAGGCTTCCATATTTACCATTAAAAAGTGTAAATAATAAATTAAAACATTATTGATTGTTAAATTTGACATGAGTTTAAACAAATTTGGACATTTTAATTACAAACTTACGTCTCATTTTACCGCTTATTAACCATGTTTATTTAGTCATGGCTATAGTCTATAAAGTATAATATAGGTACCTAATATTCAATAACAAAATAGAATATAAATAAAATACCTACCTAAAATATAAGTCATTTAATTCTATTGATATAGACAAATTAATAATAAATGTATATCGTATACATTATATTATTATTTATTTTTAACAACATAGTGATAATTATTATTAATTATTATTCAGTACTGTCGCCACGGCGCGCCGTTAAAACTGTTTGAAAAATGCCTTTTCATCATCCAGCCGAAATAGCTCAGTTGGGAGAGCGTTAGACTGAAGATCTAAAGGTCCCTGGTTCGATCCCTGGTTTCGGCAATTACTTTTTGCATTTTTTTTTACTTTATTTTTGTCGCGTTTTTTTAACTGCCGGTAAACACCCGGCACACCTGTTTCCATTTCAACCAACGTAATAATTGTCGCTGTAGTTTTTTATACTTCGGTTCCAAACTTTTAGTGAAATGTCACCTATTTAAAAAATAAATAAATACTGCCCGGTAAGACGTTTGCTGACGGATAAAGTTATTTTCCCAACACAAGCCAAACGTTTCATTTCTCAAAACGTACTCTTACACTTTTCCAAACTGGTATTTTTTCCTCTCTAATGGGAATTTTGATGACGGCATTTTTGTCGTTATTTTAGGAATTTTTCTTTAAAGGTCTCCTTCGCTATTGTTGACCGTGTATTGCGTTATTTTTATATTAAATGAAACTCCATTTGTACCAGTTGACTAACTGTAAAAAGGTCGTAAACAGGACACACCTTTTCAACTACAGAAAAACTCACACCATTGGTGTAAAAATACACATCCAAAAACTGAAAACACTTGAGTTGCATAAGCTGCCCATGTTTTGTTTAGTGTCGTTATTTGTTTAGTCTCGATTTCGATCCAGAATAATATTTACTTGCCACGTGATCGTTAAAGAGCACTTATTTATTTATATCGGTCCTTAATTAATGTCGTACTCTTAATATTTTTATACGACAAAAATACCCGTTTAGTTTCAATAAAAGCAGCTCTTGGATGGTTACATATTATTTTAACTTCTAACCTTAACGAATTTTTTCTCACTGGCTTGGCAAAATACGTCTAAGAAAATCTAATGTGTAAAAAATATAATATTGTTTAATGTTCAATGTTATTTTTTCGTATAAGATATATATTTTTGTATAAAACCTTTGATTGATAAGTCAATAGTTTTAAGTATTTGTAAAACGTCGTCAGAATTCTCTTATTTTCTTTTGTGCAAATACTTGTTTGCAGAAAGAAAACAATATAAAATGGATTGTGTTTTTTTATTGCAAACACTGTAGAGGACATTAAAATGATTTTCATGACAATTTCGCTGCAGTAAAATCTACCATTGTAATGTAACAAAAATAAAAACAACCAGAAATACATTAAAAAACAAAACCTTTTCACAGTTTATTAGCTTTGTACATAAGCTTACATCAGATCGTTAAATCGTTAATATCAATTGGAGTTTGGACAATTAAATAGTCACGAAAAATTCTGAATCTTGATGAAAACGATTTTTTTAAGTCATTTTGTGTAAACTTAATGGCTAACTAATCGACAGTTTTAGTTCTAATAATTCTTAAGTCAAAAATCTTATGTTACTTACACTTTTAAAATATGAATACTGTTTCCAGCTTAAACATTTTATTGCAAATTATGAAAATATATTTAATTCGTTTCGATAATTCTAATTTCTATAATATAAAAAATAGCAATTATAACGCAAAGTTAATTTCTAAAAATGGAAGTCGTCAAGTATAAAAACATAGTATTAATTACTATATATTAATAAATTAATATTAATAATATTAATTATCATTAGTTTTGCGCATATTTTTACAATTGATTCATTTGCTTAAGGATGGTCTATGAATATTTTTATCAATGATTTTTTTCGATGCTGATGAATATACTTTTTTCAGTGATTCAATGACATTTTCAACAATTTTTGATTATTTCATTTGAAATTGAAAACATTTAACCATTAATGAAGTATGCATGCCATTAGACGCATTTATGATCTAGCTCTTATCTTTGTAGAATGAAAACGTTTTAGGTAGAATAATACTAACCCTAAGGTGACGTTCATAGTTTTGTGAATAATTTAGTAGCGTTGGTCTAGTCCTCTCATTCTACTCTTTTCTTACAGTTGTCATTAATTCTTAATTGTAATATGTGTTGCAGGAGAAGGGAAGATGGCACCCGTTGACCGGCCGCCTGAAGGATCCGAATCTAGCGGATCGGCCGACAAAACGACGGATGAGTCGGTTGGCAAAACCAAGTCATTGCAACCTGCATCGGAAGCAGATGTTTCGCCAGATGAAAAGGTGGTCAGCGCCGTCGAATCGCCAAGAAGACAGTCGGTGCCCGACAAATCGTCCGGCAAGTCGAGCGTGACAGATACCACGTCAACTGTCGACAAATTGAACGACAAAGACGAATTAAGTGAGTGGGCTTACCATGTAGAATGTGCGCTATTTATTAGGTATGCATTACATTCGAAAAAAAATCGTCAGAGATCCAATGACAGCTTGACGTTTTAATAGCAGGAACTGTCGTTTGCACGAGCCGCAAGTCTGTTTTTTGTCGAATTCGTTTCTATGGGGGGCTGTAATCGAACATATAATATTATAGCAAACATGTTGAATACCTACAAAAAAAAAAAAAAAATAAGACCGACATAGTATGCTAAATATGGTCAAAGCAAATATTGTTTGCATATTTTGTTTCCAACGTTGTCATCGGATTAGGTTATATTGAGAAATTAATGATCGAATTATATCCCTAGTCAACGATATACCACGCCTACAAAAGCATTACAAGTATTGATTCTTCATGCAAAAAAATATTGTTTTTAAAAGAATAATAATTTAGGAACTGGCTCAAGATAGAGATGTGTGGAGGCAATTGGGTGTTGCGGCAATGGACCTAAATGGTCCGTAAAAGCCAATAAAGAAAGAAGAAGAAAAGAGCAATAATTAGTGATGAGTCTAGAAAGCTTAGAATTATCTGACAAAAAGTTAGGCTCTCTAGCACAAAAATTCTAGAAGTAATGACGATTTTTGTTCTTGGCTATCCGGCGTTCTTTTCGAGACACCTTTAGTTTATGTAAACTTCATAACTTTTACCATATATTATTAAATTATACATATTTTTTTCTATTTTACAGAAAACAAATACTACGATAAAGACTTAAGAACGACGGCATCGCCTTTCTACACGACTACGCCCAACAGCCTGAGTCCAACAGATAGTTCAGAAATGCCACCATGGGCTTCGTGGACGATAATCATAGGTCTGTTAAGAAATACTCTTGTAAAAAAATTGCTCTAAATTTAGTTTTCAAAAATATGTTGTTATATTTTCTTATAGCTGTCGTATTACTCACTGCCGGATTCGTTGGATTTTGCATACATAGGTTCTTCAGGAAACGAAGAACAAAAGATGGTAAAAAAGGAAAAGGCGTCGTGGACCTTAAAGCTGTCCAACTACTGGGATCAGCATACAAAGAAAAAGTAATGTCTCACGCTGCTTTAATTTATTGATGATTATTTGTAATTGAATATCATAAGCGTCTATCAAAATACTTTGGCTAGGCTTCAAAAATGTCTAAAGGACCATCGATTACTACTTAAATAATTTTACTCGCAGTGTATATTAGAATATTTGTTTTTTATTGGCGCTGGCAAAATTGTAATGTCTCAAATGTAAATATAGATACAACCGGACATGGAAGAACTGACTGACAACGCAGAGGAAATTGCTGAAGAAGGAGATAGCACCAAGGACGATAAAAAATTAGGAAGATTACAATTTAAGGTACGTTTAATTAAATTTAATCACGATTCCTATGGAATGTTACAACGAGAACAGCGTTAACGTTAGCGTTTTACAGATGGAGTACGATTTCCAAGGCAACACTCTTTCCGTAACGGTTATCCAGGCTGAAGATCTACCGGCTTTGGACATGGGAGGCACGTCGGATCCATACGTGAAGGTTTACCTGTTGCCGGATAAGAAGAAGAAGTTTGAGACTAAAGTGCACAGAAAAACGTTAAATCCGGTGTTCAACGAAACGTTCCAATTTAAGGTAAAGGCGCGTTTCAAACCCTAACATTATTGAGACCACTTGAATCCCGGACGTTCCTTGTGGTGCAAGCCCTTTTTGCTTCAGAGGCTTATCGTGAATAATGCACATACCAGTCCATTTACCGTTTAATTAATTTAAGTATCTTCAGATTTACTAGAAACCATCAATCGTGCCTACTACGAACTAATTAATAAATATCTCCTCATTAAATGTATGCAAATTACTGTTTATACCCCAACGCTATGACCGGGTCCCGGATTCCAAGTTGTATTGGTGGGTTTCACATTTTGTCGCTTTTGTTCAGGGAATACCGTATGCGGATGCGATGAACAAGACTCTGGTGTTTGCAATTTTCGATTTCGATCGGTTCTCCAAACACGATCAGATCGGAGAGGTCAAAGTGCCACTGTGCCAGATCGATTTGGCTCAGACTATCGAAGAATGGAGAGAACTGCAGTCCGTCGAAGGCGAAGGAGGACAGGTCAGTAAACAAAACGCATTAGAGTTAGTTATTCATAAACTATTAGGATTTCTAGGACAGGCTCACGTATCGAACACTTCATCACTAGCTGATGGTATTTGCACTTCTCGCGTATTCGATTATGCCTACACATCTTTTTCGGTTTATTTATTTATTTATTTTTGCAAATAAATCTCAAATCCATTATACTCTGTCAAAAGCAGCTTATTTTTTTTCTGAAGAGTCCCCGGGGGTTTCTTTATTTACATTATATTTTATAAAGAAGGCCAAAAATAATTAAGTACTTCTGCTGCCGACCTCTTTGTGAATTCGCAGTAACTCGTGATCAATTGAATTGAAGCATTGCAAATGACATTTTCCTAAATTTTCTCCGCGTCAGGAAGGTAAAATCCAGTTTATTTCCTGCGAGCAATTCGATTCTGAATTGCAGGGTTTACATGCAGTACTTATTATTTTTAACCAACAAAAACGTGTTACGAGATTATTGGTTATGAGCAAAGACGTAATAAGTTATTCATTGATCACGCGAGCATGCAGTACCTACTTTTCTATTCTCTCTTTACATAATATTATTATATATAGGATAAATTTAATTACTATACAATATTATACGTATACTTTTATAATATTATCAACTATTTTATTATTATTACTATTACTATATTATTATTATTATAACATTTTTTTCTTCTTTACATCTATATTTTTGATATTATTATTACTATTATTATCTACAGTTGTTCGCAAGCATTGTATTTTGTTATTTTTTCTGTTTGTATTGTTTTGGTTTGAATACAAAAAAAAATCGACCCGATTTTTTTGGAACACGGTGCACCACGAAAACGAACAAATAAAAAAAATATATAAATTCACGTAAGTATGACGCCTTTTTTGGCCGAAATCTAGCCCTGTGTCATACCAAAATGTGTGCTGTGTCTCGTGTTTTTGTGGTGTTCTGCTATATTAATTTAATGTTACATTATCGTTTTTTTTTTGTTTAATTTATTTACTTATTATTATTATTTATATAAAATCCTTTTGATTTCGACGTTTTAGGAAGTTTTTGTTTATTTAATTTGTTTTAGCTATATATTCTTGCGTTTGACAATATTTTACGCGTTGAAAGACGGCGGACGTGATGCTCTCACGGTTTTTTTTTTGACTTGCCGTCGACGGCTAGCGTTGACGTAACACATACTATATAATGTTATTATATTTAATTGGTTAAATGACAAAAAGTACAGCCAATGCGTTGGTGTCGGTTTCAACACGGTCTCGATACAAAAATATTGTTTTCCAATTGTCTTAACGTTTTGGATCTAATAGGGTCAGGTCAGCCTTCATATATTTACACCGTAGAGGTTTTTATTTTCCATTATTATTATGTGTCAACCCATCTATGAAAGTTAAACCATGCTCTTAAATAGAAGGCCTTTAGTAGGGTAAAGGGTTCACATTATAACAGCGTTGTTTCACAGCTAATTTCCCAAAACTTCGGCGCCAATAGCTTCGATAGGGTATCTAAAGTCTGACAAGTTAGACGATCGAATTAATCCTTAACATCGAACCTTGTCTACAACGATAATACCAGAAGACACAAATTTATAACAGCATTTGGCTGGTGCAGGCTTATTATTAAGAGAGATCAGCATATTATACACTACACTTAACGGTGTTAAGCGAAAACCCATTATTGAAACACCATTTCGAAAACTTACCAACGTCCTGTTCTATAGTTACTTATGGGAAGTTGAAGTATTTAGCATTCGGGACAAACAATCTTAGTACTTAGTCTTCCATTCACGTCCCAACGAATCGACTCTTATTAAGAACCGACTTTTTTTTAAATAAGTAATAAACATCTTAAAACGGGTTAGCGTAGAAGGATTTAGAAGCAGAGGTAGATCGAAGGAAAAGTGGCTGGGTCTTATAAATAAAGACGTGGATCGAATAAAGAAACAATGACGTACTGAGTATAGTGTAGACATTCGGCTGGACCAATCCCGTTTGTACCGGACAAGTCGGAGTAGGAGAGGATTTAAATATTACATTCTATGCCATTTTCCTCTTATTCGACGACAATTTAATTTCTTAACTATATTTCCCAATTGATATCCAAATTATAGCAGATTCTCCACACAACAGTCAACAGCAACATCACGTTTTATTTATCGCCTTATTAACACTACACCATTGATAAATTAATAGTTAGCCCTTTTTTTCCAGTGTTGATACCGACGCTAAGTGTACCCGCGACTGCAATGTTAAACTGTACAAAAGTTCACAATTACATAAAATACCCTTACCGAGTCAGCCGTTAAAAATATATTATAATTATTTTCCATAACACGCAAACATAATGTTTTCGCACTTCCGTTTTACAGCAAACATAAATACATAATATTTATTTGAATTAAAATTAAAATAGGTAGGTGAGTTAATACCGCAGTTCGAGTACCTAAGTATTAATATTAATGAAATCGACACGGTGTTAATTGTGTATAACATACCGGTTAATATGTCTAAAACAGCTATATATTATTTCTATTAAAACAAAAATTATTTTATTTTAAATTTCAAATTTTATCATAGCACTATGACCCACGACCGTTGACTGACAGTAGCTGTATTAAAAAAAAAACAAAATCATTAAGTATATTTTACCACAATATCGTTATCTATATAAAGTCAACTCGTCCGAGTCCGGTTACCGACGTCTGATATTCAAGTTATTTTATTCACGAACACTTCCTAATTTGTATTGTTGTGCTTGCGATAGGAGTAACTATAGTTTTAGAAACAATAGCTGAATTTTGTTAATTTTGTGAACTATATAAAACTGAAAACGACCGATTAATCGTATGATATTACAACAATGTATAGTTAGTATATGTAATGATGATATTATTATTATAATATAGATCAGTGCGGTGTTAGACCTCATAGTGCGTAGAATTATAACCGATACACTTAGAAAAGGTATAGCGGAAACTTAGATTAATTATTTGATTATTCCAAAGAGTGTTGAAGCCCTGAACAATATATTACATATAGTATTAGATTATTATTACAAACATACATTATTATTATTATTATTAGGTATATTGTAACTATTTTTTTTTTTATACTTAGTGGCACAAAATATATTAAATACCATTTGTGGAACATGCTCTGTATATCTAGTACGAAACCCTGTGTACAAACATTAATCGTTTTTTTTTTATAATTAGAAAATCGTATGGTTATGTTAATATTATTACATAACATTTTTTTACCGTTTTTATTTTCGTCGGACGTTTTTTTATTTTTTTTAATTTCCATTGGTTTTGGCCTTTTGTAGGATAACAAGTTGGGAGATATATGTTTCTCGTTGCGTTACGTGCCCACCGCCGGAAAACTCACTGTGGTCATACTGGAAGCGAAGAACTTGAAGAAAATGGACGTTGGCGGACTTTCGGGTAAACTTAAAAAAAAAACCATACTCTTACTATCGTTATAACTTATAACGATCGTTTAAATCATAATATTGTTCTCGTTCCAGATCCTTATGTGAAAATAGCTTTGATGCAGAACGGGAAACGGCTGAAGAAAAAGAAAACCAGCATAAAGAAATGTACGCTAAATCCGTATTACAACGAATCGTTTACATTCGAAGTGCCTTTCGAACAGATACAGGTAAAGTAAACGTTTAAATCCCAGCAAATAACAGTATAGTAATAATAAAAAGTTGGAAATCGATGGCAAAACTTGAGGTTTACTTAGGTACTGTAATTTATCTTGTGTATACATAATTTTGGATACAGTTTACTATCGTAACGCTCGCCAGTGCACTGGCCACTGCAATTAGGGTTTATGTATTTGAAGGGTTCAGAGGCCAAAGCACTTTACAGTACAAAACTTGAAACACGATTTTGAAAGCTTTGTGTACAACATGTAAATGCATGAAGGTTTATTCAAAAACTTCGGGCAAATTTTGTTTATATAGCACAGGTTGTATGTTTAGGTTTATATTATATATATAAAAGAACGGTAAATAATATGTTTTACAAAATGTGGTGGCAATTAGTGAATATATTAATACTCAAATATATTAGTATTACCCACTCTGAACCTCTCCTTAATTGACATACCGCTCATGTAAAATACATTTTTCTATTCACGACTAGCTGATCAGACATCATTACGAATACAGAATACCTATACCTAACTAGATCAGCTATCTATATTATTATTATAGAAAAATGGCTTGTACGTCAGTTTGTATGCAAGTATAAAATAAGGTAAATTATTTCGTTGTATAAATCATAAAAAATAGAATATTTCCATATTAAATTTTAAATCCGTTTAGTCGATATGAGAACACCGATTTTGAGGTAGGTACACTACACGAATGTAAATGAGAGAACAGAGACGGACTCTTTCTCTTAATCCCAATTAAGTCTGAGAGATGTAGTGGCGTACACAGGGTGATCTATATAATCTAAGGTAATCCCATGTAATCTAGGATGATCAGAAATAATCCACATGGCGTACCACGGACGGTTTAATTAATTTAGGCGTTTTCCAACCTTTCAAACTGTGTGACATGGTGGGTTTATTATTTTAATCGGTACCGCACTATAATGACCCACTCTTAATAACTATTTATTTATAACTAGTTATTAATAACATAACTCTTTACAAACTGATTTTATTACTACCAATAAATAATTAATTAATTATTTCGGAAAGAAATAGAATTCAAATATTTAAAAGAAGAGGTGCGATCAATAAGTGTCCGCCACTTGATATTCATTTAAAAATATTATCGAATACCCTAAATACGTCCAATAACAAAATCTAACAAAAAAATGATAGCTGAAAAAATTTCAAATGTATAAAGTACATAGTCAAGAAATTATTATTTTTTTTTTGTAATACTAAGAGTAAAAAAAACCTTCATTTCTCATTCTACGCGCGTTTTATTTATTTCACTCTTGATATAAATTTGTTTTATTAAAAAAGGAAATAAATTACCTTTAACATTGTAAACCTTTTAAAAAAGAAAGGTCCTTATAAAAACAAGTTATGCCTATATATCTCGACAATAACTTAATCATAATACCTTTTAAGTCTTACTATTGAAAATGTTTATTTATTTTTCAACTGTTTGAACGTTTTAAAATAATTTTTTCTAATACTAACCAAAATTGCACTCGGGAGTTATTTGTTTATTATTAGTTTTTTCCGCTAATTTTCCACTATTCTCTAGCTTACACCCAACCCTTCTTAGCCTATCCGTAAATTTAAAACTAGTTTTTAATAAAATTATTTCCATAACATTCTGAACCGTATGAAGTAAAAAGAATAATAAAGTTTATTTTTCTCAAATTTTTGCAATTATTTGTACTCGTTTATAAAATCTCTGTAATCTAGTAGCACACGAACCATCCATCTTAACATTTTGTTAGGCTTATTTTCCTCATCCATCTTATTCATAGCCATTAAACACTGTTTCATGGAATTTATAAATAAACTTTTTTTTAATATTTATTTTCGGATTTCATTTTTTTTTTCAAAGCATACAACACGAGATATTATGTGATTGATTATGATAAAATAAATAATGCATTCAATTACTGGTTTTTACATTTTTTTTTTTTTAATCAAAAAGTTTAAAAAAGTAATTTATTTGTTTATATACCTATTTAATAATATTTTATACCACTGAACTGGTAATAGCTGTTTATGAAACATATTTCTACAAAATATCTGTGGACCATGTTTCATCTATAATTATAACTATGTCGATGTCCATATCCAAATCTATATCTGTGTCTATACCAATATCTATGTCTAAGTAAATCGTTTTAATAAGTTTAATTTTTTTGTATTCGTTTTTTAAATTGAATGGTTATGACCACCAAGAATCTATTTATTATTTTTTTTATTATCCATTAATAAGCCTCAACATTAAAATAATTAGGTAGGTACGTCCTTCTCGATATTTCAAATCATTGGCTACGATATTAGGTAAATTACAATCGATACTACAGTGCGATACGATTATTATAATAAATTACAATAGTTGGTTTAAATAATATTAAATAAAATACATTGAAGGTATGTTATCTAATATAAACTATAAGTTATAGCTATATTACGTCCGTGGTCATGTACCTACATATTATCCATTATCCGTGTATCTATATCTTTTTAAATGGTGTTGTAAAACATTGGTGTTGTTTTTTTTTTTGTAATCACTTAAAATTTCTTTTATTCGTTGCTTAAACTTTTCTTTTTTTCTTTTTTTTATAGAAAGTCAACCTGGTAGTCACCGTTGTCGACTACGATCGTATTGGCACGTCTGAGCCCATCGGCAAAGTGGTGCTAGGCTATAACGCTACCGGCACCGAACTGCGGCATTGGTCCGACATGTTGGCCTCGCCGAGACGTCCTATCGCACAGTGGCACACACTCAAAGACCCCGACGACGACGCTAAAAACTAAGTTCATCCAAAGCCACATGTACCCCATATATTACTCCGAAGGACAAGATAAACACCCGTCACGCCATCGCCGCATTAACACTGTTGAATGAGCCGCGAACCGCATAATACAACAATACTAACATAATACCTACTATGTTTTTAACACTCGCGGAACAAATAACATGTTAAATTACCGTATGTAGGTACTTATTTTATGTACGTTACACCTAACATTATTATTATTATTATTATTATTATATCATCATCATCATCATCATCGCGTCGTCTTTACCCAGCCACACAAGACGTGTCGTTTGTACAACGAGAACGTTGTCTCTATGATATGCCTCTTCCTCTGCTTCTAAATGGTTCTAATCATGGTAATAATAATAATAATAATAATATACATGCCATAGCCGGTGCAAGTACTACAATTATTAACATCAGCTATCGTTAAGTTACACTTGTGCTGTGTTCACTTGGCTTTCTATTCGCCAGTATTTGTTTTAATATTCCATTCACAATGATTACATTTGCTAATTAATTCGCGTAGGACGTACCTGTACCTAATATGTGGACAATTACTAATATAACTATAATATTAAAACCCGTTTAGAATGTAACGGCCGAGATGCTCTTGATCTTCATTGTAGGCAACGTGAAAACAAAATGCTTACATAATAAATATTACTATATTTTGTTTCGCTAACCGATAATTTTTTAAATTTTCATTTCTGATCTCTTACACTATATCTCTCTCTTTTTCTAGAATACCAGCTAGTAGGTAGGTATTACTGAATGATGCGTATCGTCGTAGCAGCAGAAACACTATACACTATAATGTTGTAATCATACATACATATATATATATATATTACCTATGCATTGCGCTTCGAGTAAAGATATATTATATAAATTATCCATCAGAACAATTTTAAATACACTCCTCCAAAATTACCTACGAGTAGCTTACGACAGATATACCATTCGAGCTAAATATATTATATTATATTAAATTATAGTATCATAATATTACTATATGATTATACTAAAAGCGTAAAGTTTCTATGTACATACCGTGTTCTGCCACTGTTGTAATTATTATTTTTGTTTTTATTTAGATTTAACACGTTACTATTATTATTACTATAGCCTTCGTTATTTAATATTATAATTGACAAAAAAAAAAATACACATGATAATATTGTTATTATCCGATATATTATTATGATCAATCAGATCCCATGAGATCGGCGCCGGATATATTATTATTATTATATAAATAGTAATATTATTTTATATTATAATAATATGAGGTGCTTTTAGACTAACGCGAGCATTGAATATAATATTATACACCAGAATAAATCTATTATATTATATTATCATAATGAACAATTTTAAAAATGTACCTCTCTGTACCATTTATCTAGTCATATGTAATAATCGTATAAGGAAAATAATAATGTCTCTTTATTGTTTTTTTAAATAGCCACGCTCGTGCGTTTCTTGTTAATCTTATAGTTGTTCATTAACTTATTTCCCAATTATTATTAATACGTTTGAACTGGTAGGTAAGCAACATTATAATAAGAATTGATAATGACTAATAATATAGGTAATTTAATGTATGAAAACTAATTTGCATAGTCGAATATTTAGTTTAAAAATACAACCATTTAGCTACCTATTAAAAATTATACTACTTAAATAATATTATATTAAATTATATTCTTGATGGGGGAAAAATGTACTATTTTATCTTGTTATTGTTACTTATTTATTATTGTAAAATATTGTATTATATAATATATTATACGAATGACATTATTATATTATATTATTAAAAATATAGTTATTTAAATCTATAATATCACTATAATATTATAATAATAATAATAAACGAGCAAGTCGGTGAAAAGCAAATTTTGTAGAGCCCAGAGAGCGTACCTAGGAGAGGGTCGTTTTTAAGGACGGCCCCGAGTAGGTATTTGTTGTATTTCCTGTATTTTTTATCCGTAGCCGATAAAACGTATTATTATTAATAAAATATAGAGTATATTTTCAAACTCGTATATAAAGTTTCTTCGAGAATTGATTTTTGATAAAAAACCGCTACGATAATACCGCCTGACGCGGAGGCGGTTTGAACGGCATTTAAACGGACCGAATAAAAAAACACCCACACATCTCCAATCGCAAAAGAAAGCAAACATCCCAATTTTCTAAACTTACAACAGCTTTGATAAGGTTTTTGTCCAGACATTTTCCCATAATAATATAGTACATTGTTACAAACCGGCGAAACGACCATTTAAGAACAATTTTTTTTTTTTTGGTTGATCGGTTGCTATGGTTGCTCGGGATTAAATATAAAAAAATAACAATTTATATACCAACATTTTTTAAAAAAAGACTTAACATTTTTTACACGCGAATTGGCAGTAAATTTTAGTATTATTATTATGTAATACCTAAAACGAGTCACGTTGTTGTTTGTTAAACGCGAAAAACCACGAAAACATAAGTAGAACTTTATATTAATATAATATTATACAACATATATTTATTATCTATAATATATATTGTATAAATTAATAAGTACTTAAAGATTATAATTTATTGTTTGTTTAATATTATTATCATTATTACCCAAATATGATTATGTACATTATATGTTCCTCGTGGTCGATATACACGTCTCTCTTATAAATATAAGTAGTTGACAATTATTGCAATATCATTAGTAAAATACTATAAACTATTATTAACCAGTTATCCGAGTACTGTTATATTTTCGTTTGTTTATTATAAAATTTATCGGACGAGAAAACGGTTTGTAATTTTTTTTTTGTCTGAACTTTAGTGTTTATTAATTTATATATAATATTATATTATAAATAAAATAATAATAATTGTCTGTCGTTTACGTCATGTGAAAAATAGAATGTTATAGACGCTAGTCGCAATACACTACATATTATTATTATATTATATAAACAATAAAACATTATACATATTATTATATTTATAAAAATATGTATATATATATACTATTACAATAATAAATAAAAAAACCAAACAAGTATAATATGTAACCCCGTAATGATTGAACTTATAAAGATTGTGTACATTATACGATTGAAATCCATAAGCCCACTTTTAGACATAAAATCTTGGCCAAAATGTGAACGTTTTCTCAGTTAATTACAAACTATACCAATTTGTTATCATTTCAAATATATTATATATAAATGGATACTTGATTTACAGCCTTAAACGTCAACTAGGCCTTCCCAACTTCTGTTCAGCATATTTTGTCTTGTACATTTCTTTAAAATTTAAAATTAGCTAAATATTTTTTCCACCTAAAACTTCGACGTGATTAACTAAATAATATGAATAAGACAAATTAAAAAAAAAAAATTATTATTAAAAATTACTGCATTTTAAAAATATGAAATTAAGGTTTATTTTTAAACATTTTTGTCAACTAAATTTGGTCGACTAAAAACAAACGTCCATTTTTTAATCAAATAGTAATTCTTTTTTTTTTTTTTGACATTAGTGTAAAAAATAATAAAAATTATAATCGATGACCCATACCAACCTGCCTAAGTTGCACCAGTTCATCTAACCGACGAGATAAAAAAATTTTTATTTCTACATTACTTTAATTATTAAATGGTAAAATCTCAATTTTGTGTTTAACGTTTAAGTATGTCTTTTTATCGTTTTAGTCTCAACCTTACTTTGCCAAAATATTTTTTTTTCTTCGTTGCAAAACACAAAGGCAAATGAAATGAATAGTAATACGGCACCGGATAGACTAAAGCAAAGGTAAGTTTTTATTACAGGATTACTTATGAGTTATCCACCTTGTATTCTGTAAAGCCTGAGACAAATGATAAACTGTTATAATCCTAGTATATGACTTAAGAAAAATAAAAGATACCGACATATTTTTTTAAACTATTTATTTACAATGAGTTTATAAAATACAACAAAACAAAATATAAAAAAAATCTACTACTGTTACGCTCATTTCTTAAGTGTTAAACTTTTGTTGATGACTTTTCATCATCACTAGAATCACTGGAATCACTTTCGCTTTTCAGTTCACGATTTTTAGATGCCGTGCCCTAGAAAAAAAGAAGAAATACAATTTTTTAATACTAGTTCTAAAGGTAATTGCTATAATATGATTAATTTTCGTTTGGTCTATATTCTGAATTATAAATATTGTAATGTCAAAGAATATATTTACCCTTTTTTTGAATTTTTGAATATCATATTTAAACGTTTCCCCTTTGGATTCAATGTCTTTCTTTAATCTTGAAACTGTCGATTCGCTTATATCCTCGAACGAAACTTGTTTCAGTGCTTCGTCTAACGTGTTGTGAGCTTCGACATAGTTATCTTGATTAACTACGCCACAATATATTTTTACATAATTAACTAAATACACTTTGACAATATTATAATTAGTAAATGTTTAATACTGACCGTGACCATCTATGAGAGCGCAATAAACCAATCCTAAATTAGTGTTCTTATTGGCCAAACCCTTCAGTTTTGAAATCGTAGACAACAGTTTTTGTCCCAACTCAAAATTACCTTTTGATCGGATATTCACCAGTATGTGACGGTACTGAATTCTTGTAGAGACATCTAAATCGCCGATGAGCTTATCGGCTTTATCAAATTCATTGTTCAACATAAAATAAGACCAAAGACTGTTGGCAAACACGGTAATACCTTTCGGTGCCAATTTAGAATTTATTTCTTCGACTGAAATAGAAAAAAAAAAATCACATGTTAACAAGTAAATTAGGCCGCCAGTAACCAAGCATCAGTGGCTTTAGTGAGCACTCACTCCCTATATAAACACCTTACTCACTCAGCCACTCATCCTCCTCAACTTTGTAACACGTTATCATAATTTCATTACATTCTGTGCTAAGTAATGAATGCAAAAAGTGGTACAACTTTTTCAATAAGTTATTTGAAAAAAATAATACGTTACAAAATGGTTTTTTAAAAAAATACTTATTTTGAACAAGAAAATAAATTGGAGTTCATTACATAAGCATTCAGTTTTAAAAACATTAGTTTTGACTATTTAGATCAATAAAATGTGGTCCAACCATTTAAAAAAAATATACACTAAGAAAAAATAAATCAATGAGTTTCTATTGAAAGTAACGCCAGTTATTTTGTAACAGATAAATTTAATTGAAAATATAACATTTAAAAACATTACTGTATTCAAATAAACCCATACTAACTTGTCGGTAAAACTGTAGAATCCTTTTGCAATATCTCGACAACCGAACCGCCAGGTACACTTCTGACAATTTCTAATAGTTTATCTTTGTCATTTAAGTTTTCATTGATATTTTGCACGAATGAAGTAAACATTTCTTTTATGTTTCCACTCTTTTGATGAGCCTTCCAACTGTGTTGGTTTAGACTTAAATAGCTAGATAAATTCTAAAAACAGTAAACAAGAAACGGTAAAGTTATAACAAAATCATAAGAAATTAATGAGCAATTTTTTTTTAAACATCAAACAAACCTTAGGCACTTTTTCTTTTAAAAATTCTAATGAAGCGACTTCTCCAGCTTCTGATAGTTTTGAAACCAAGAAACGCAATACGTTTTTAGAAATCTGTCTGTCATTGACTAACATCTCTTTAGCGATTTCAATTGCTTCGCTTAATTTATTTTCGCGAGTTAAAAGTTCGATAATTTTAGATTCTTTGGAGTTATGAAGTGGTAAATTTTTGGAAAGTATTTTTCTACGTATTTTAATAGCATTTGTGATGTCGTTTTTATCCAAATACGAGTCTAACAAGTTAAATAAATCTTTTTGGATGATGTTGTCAGACGATTGTTGTTTTTCTTTTGGTTTATTCACTGCGAATGGCACTTCACATCCATTTTTTTTAAGAAGTTCACTCAAGGACCACATAAACGTATCAGACGGTTGAATGTCTTCTTCTTGCATTTGGGTCCAAAGACTCATGGCTTCTTCTACTTTATTGTTTTTGCCTAGAACAAAAGTTGAAACGGGCTGTTTAATTTTATCGAATATTATTTTAATCAATTTTGTTTTACTGTGCAACTCCAAAAGTTCGTTGTATATTTTAGATCTGTTGAATTGGTGAATGTCTTTTGTAACTTCAAGTAAGCGGTTAAGTAACTCCTCGGAGTTATCAGCTCCATACTTGGCACAAGCGACGTTCAAGCGATCTTGCCTAGCTTTTAAGCCTGGAGTCTAAAACAAACAAATAGATTTACATTAATTCATCTAATACTAAACAGCATACAGACCTCAGCATATATTTATTTAATTAACAAATAACAAATAATTTTTTAAGCTAAGTAAATTTCTATTTAGTGTTTCAAAAACTAAATTATTTTTAATTATTATAATTAACATTATTAACTAATATTATAAACATAATTCCCACATTATTTTCTATAATAATTTCAGTTTGTATTTAAATAACAAACAAAATAATAGTTGAGTAAATAATTAAAATTGTTTACTTTATTAATTATTAATAAATAATTAATTATTATTTTACTTTATTTACTTTATTAGCTTGAATGCTGAATTGAGAATTTATATTCAAACCAATAGACTGATTCATTCATGATAAAAAATAATACAAATTTTATTTCTTTATCTTCCAAATAATTTTAAAAGTGGAAGAATTATTTCAATTATAATTTATATTTATTATATAATGCCCAGGTTTGCTAACAAACATGGAAAATAAATTAATATGACTAAGTTTTCATTACCTCTAATATTTTACGTGCTTGTTTAAGACGACCACATTCGAGAAACGATAGCATTAAATCATACAATGAATTGATTTCACCATGAATAGTAGTGCTCAAGTCAGTCAGTGTTTGCAAAGACGATGCATCTTCCGCCTCAATGAATTTCATAGATAATTCATTTTTCATTGGTGTACACCTGTACGTTTTACAACACCATTCGAATTTCTCCAAGGCTTCTTTCAGGTTTTGGCTATTAACCCAAAAACACAAAGGTATAAAATAATTTTTGACGAACACAAAACAAAAAGTGTTTCTTTTATTATTACTTAATTAAATGAACTTTAATCAGCGGCCCCAAAATTATATTTGACACAGTTGTGTAATTCTTGTTAACTAATATGTCGAATAATTGTTGAACGAGTTCAGGGTCTCCTTTGTCAGCAGCATTGTTTAATAACTTCCAACAGTTATTCGAATGTTGATATGAAAGAAAATCTTCTTGCTTGCCTTCTGGCTGTTCAACGGACGACAAGAACTCGATGGCTTCTAAGCAAATAATAGTGGCACATTTAAATACAGTTTAATACAAATTTTAAGTCAGAAACTTAATAGAAAATTATTTTTAATTATTTTCAAGTGTTAAAAATATATAAAACAATATAATACTATTTACGTAAATAATTAAGGTTAACTATATTTTACATTATTAACTTACTTTCGACACAGTCATTCTTAGCAATAACTTCTGCCATTTTTACCATTTTATGTTTGTCCAACAAAAATTGTTGATTTGCCATTGTTAACTGCTGATATAAATCTTTAGCTTCATTCAACTTGTCGTTACTTAAATATAAATCCAACAGCAAAACAAGTGATCCTGTTGGTATATCAAATCCATCGGCTGTTAATTTCTAAAAAGTAAAAACAAACTACCATAAATTATACAGTGTTAATAGGAAATTAGCACACAAAAAAAGAAAACTTATTATTTATCAATGGATAATCCACAAAAAGAAAATTATGCAGTTTTTGTAAAGCGGTTTACATGCGAAACTTTTTTTTACTTAATACTGTTGATAAATTAATATTGAAAAATGGTAATACATTTTAAACAACTTCTCTATTAAGTTAACCCAAACTTTTAACATACTTCTTTTAAAGCCATTGCTTTTTCCAGATTTTTATTTCTACAATACAAATTAAACAGTTGTCGCTTAACACCGTTTTTAGTCTCTCCCGAAGCTTCTCCTCTCTTGATAATATTTTCTAATGTGTGTTCATCCTATTAGGGGATTTATGAACAAATGTTTTACTATAGATTTACAAGGTAATAAGTAACAAAAATGTATTATGTTATATTTACCGCATTTGCCAAAGTATAACTGCCCGGTTTGACTCCGAGTTCGACTTTACGAACCAAATTTGAGTCTGTTAAATTTTCCAGTAAATTAGAAATTTCAAAAGTGATCTTCCCTTCTAAATTATTTTGTACGTTTTCTGCTGCTCGGGAACTTATGCCCAAACCTTTTTCATACATGGCCTACGTTTTGGTAAACAAAAAAAAAATTATTTAACCCATATATTTTAAAATACTGCTAAACGCTGCAACAAATCACCTCCAGCAGTTCTTGCATAATGGATACGACCGCAGGACTTTGTTTTAAATTCTGCACGATACTGCTGACTATTTGACCAAGAAACACTCGCATTTCAATTATTTGTTCTTCAGTGTCTGGACTGGGCACAAACTTATCATTAGACTGTTTTGCTAATTCCGGTGACAAGACCAATGGCAGACGCGAGAAACCGTTACATATTTGTTGAAGTATTACGATCAGAGATTTGATATCATTTCCTTCTAAAAATGCTCTCACCAATGGCTGACGTATAACATATGGTATATAGAAAGCCCGATGAGTGGCGGCTGTAAAAAAAATTAATATTTAATGGTTACAAATTTAGTTGTTATTTTATTTTTATTATAACTCTATACCGATGTCAGCGGCTAGACGTATATCATTCTTGGATAACAAATATAGCACTAGTGCGTGCGTACTCGTGCCTTGCGCGATGCCTGACAGTTGTAAATTTTGGATAATTTGTGATCCACTCTGACCGTTGTTAATTAAAGTAGGCATCACATAATGTCGCAGTGTATCGACGTTCGGAGTTAATTTGTAAGTGTTTATCATTGTCATCAATACATTATTGAAGCCTAGTAAAATGACGACACGAATGCACATTAAAAAAAATTACTTAACAAACAATAAGACCTGTATCCACTAAAAATTACCATCTAAATCGTTGAGTTTACTTTTCGATACTAATAAAGGCCAAAAATAGTGTTGTCTAATAGGTAGTTCTTTTTTGTTCATATATTCGAACAAACCCAATGCTGTGTTGACTGAACCTTTTTTTAATGCCATTTCAGTCGCATGTTCTATGGCCATCAGATTAGATCCGTCTGCTATGAGTTTCTCGCAAAATTCAATTACTTTGTTCACCGGCTAAAACACAATACAAAACAATTTCGAATTTAGCCACAACATCTATAATAAAAATGAATAAAATATGAAACTAAAAAAATACTAAAGTCTTACGCAGTTTATTTTTATTAAATGGTTAATTAAAAATCTGCCCATCGGTGGTGGTGTTGTATTATCTATACTAGTAGGTCTTTTCATAGAATCAAAAACTTTAATGGCAGTTTCTATCTGACCAGCCGTGGTCAACTTGTAAATACAATTTATAGCGTCTTGGTTGTAGCCGCTCGACTTTTGAACTCGATTTAATATCTATAAATTTAGGTTAAATAGTTGTTAATTAAATTGTTTTTTACTCTTTAGGAAAATTACTTACCTCATCTACCTTGTCGCTATGACCATTAGTAGCTAAAGAATACAAAATATCAAGCAGATCTTTATGGGACAAATAAATGTCTTGTTGTTCGCAAATGTTTAAGATCTCGGTTACTTTAGCAATATCTCCTTTTTTGGCGTAACCCGAAGCCAATAAAGTATATGTTTCTGAAGATGGTTCCAGCTTTGATTCTTTCATAACGTTTAAAACACCTTCTGCGCTCTCCATATCGCTAATCAATTTAAAACAGTTATGACATGTAATGTATGACTATAATTACAATACACTACAGTAGTCCCCAATGTTGTTATATAACCGAAATACTATAATACATTTATTACATACCCGTTTTGAGAATGTCCAATGACCAAAGCGTTAAAGACCATATGGTTGATCGGTAATTGTTTGTCACGCATGTATTCTAATATACGGCTCGCTCCTTCGATATCGCCTTGTTTACAGTAACTAGTCACTAAATTTTGGTAAGTAACACGATTTGGTGTAATGCCTTTGTTTTTTAATTCCTCCAAGAATTCCGTGGGAGAAAACTGATGGTCGTTTTCTAAATAAACTTTTAACAAAGTATTGTAATGGCTTACATCCAACGGAACACCTATATCACAAAAATGATCATATATTACGCATGATTAATTGTTTGTATATGATGTACATTATTAAAATTTACCGATCTTGACCAAAGTGTCCCATGTTTTCTTGGCTAGTATTGTCCGATTTTCTGGTAATTCGTCTGGTACCAAAATTCCACAGCATCGAATCACAAGTAACGCCTGAGAGGGTGTGGCTATGTCTAAAACAAAAACAGGTATTATTGTTATAAACGCATATCAATAAATAGTTCATACTATCTCGCATACTCGAATGTTCGATTTCTTTAATGACACTTTCTACGTCTTGTTTCGATATGCGACCATATTTACGCACATTGTCATCGAGTTTCTTGATCTGTAAGTCAACTTTGTTTGAAGAAGACGAGCTCAGGATGGTCGATGAAAAGAACGAGCTGATCAGAGTTACATATAAATTATTATAAACTATCCATTTTGGGAGAACACAGACTTGGCGTGAACTTACCGACTTGGAAGTATGTTGGTACAGAACCGAGAAGTGCTAGCGACATAGTTGTCGTTTGATGTTCTTTGCGGTGTATTCGTGTTGGACGAAACCAGTGTATTGTTAAGTCGATGGCGACTCAAAGTATACGCGGTGCGTATGTGCTTAGAGCACTGTATTAAAATGGACATTGTGTGTACTGACTAATGAAAAATGATATACTTAATCCGAAAACTAAAAACTCTGTAATAAAATCTCAGTTGGAGTCGAAATCCCCCAAAAAAAAATCGTACAATTAATAGCGAACCGAGTACATAAATTAAAATTTGAAATAACCTAGAATATCGCTTCGAAGTTCGAACTGATAGTACAAACTCATGTGACTCATGTACCGTGGTAATAAAGCTTGCCGATTAGTAGGTAACCGCGGCCGCAGGATCAATAATGATAACGTAACCCGTTCGTGGCACCGCCGCACCGGGCATGCGTTTAAAAATGTTTGAACTTTGATAGATAATTGTTGATAAAATGCAAATAAATGATTCATCAACTAATGGATTATTAAATATTTATAAATATATTACATACATTTATGTATAAGAAATTTAAAGATAAATCATGTAAAACATGATAATTTACTGTTGACTGCTTACATTCCTGTCACAATTATCGAATGATAAATTAAAAATAAGTGTAAATATTTTAATTCTTAAACTGTATTAACAATGTATCTTAAAGCAATTTGTTTTGTAAGATAATATTTTTGACTTTTTGTTTTAAGTAAAACGTATTAAAAAAAAAACAAAAAATGGTAAGTTGAGAATTTTAGGAAACTAAAATAAAACTAAAATAGAGATTCATTTTTTAGCCTCCGAAAAAGAAGAAGACTGCTGGTGGTCAGACAGTTCGATTCCAACCATCAGATCATAGACAATCGAAAAAATCTCAAGCTGAAATTGAGTCTTCGTCTCACCGTCTTCCGGTCATACCGGCCCTATGGACTGTATCTTTGATAGTTGTGATCGGTTCGTTGTGCTACCGAGGGTACTTGGACACTCACTTTACTGTTAACTCACCTTTTCGCGGTCCAAAAGTATGTGCTTATAAAACATATATCGTCTTTAAAAGTGATGTAATTAAAATAGACTTTTAACAGGTAACAAAAAAAGATTCCGATCCTATACGGTGGGGTACACTACGGCCTGGCCAATACCTAGGTTTGAGAACGAAAGAACCTAGAGATCGAGGGTCGGTTAGTGCAGGACTTATGTGGTATAAAAACGAGGAATTGCTTGCCAAAGGTCCGGATTCAATACGCTACAATTGTGAAAACAGAGATACCATAAAGTATGGATTCATCGAGCATAACACTTGTAGTTATGGAATTCAAGTCATTCAGGAGTTGAATGACAATTTTGAAGACGTTAATTACGCCATAAATACAACATTTTTGAGACCTGAACAAAACAATAAAAAAGATTGGACTGTCAGAGTCGATTATGCTAACCGTAAAAAATCAAACAAAGTAAGATAACGTCTACATTTTATTTTCAAAATAGTCTTAATGATATTAACGTATTATTGTTGTTAAACAATTTTCAGAACGATATATCGTTTGTATGGTATACTGTAATCGATCCAGGAGATGACGACGATAAATCTCTTTCGCAATCTGAATATAATCTGCAAGTCGAAAAAACAGTTGAAGGTTCACATCTGGTAGCGAGAATCATCGGACATTCTCCTAGTTTAGGTGATTTCAAAATGTCGGTCGTTTTTGACAGTGAAAACACGAAAGACATACATTCTTCTATGCACGCTAGTGTCGGTGTTACACAATGTAACTCGATGGCCGAAGTGAAAGAATGTCTTGTGCACGGTACAATGGCTGTTGAAAATGATAAAACTAGCCAATCCCAACATCGAGTCGTGTTGACTGATAAGAAACAATCGACTGGTTTTAAGAACTTTGTAGCCGTTCAAATTACTTTATACTCTCAAACTGGTAGTTTTGACGTTGTTTATCAACAAAATCAAAATTCGGCTGCTTTACTAACTGGACAGAAATTAACAAAAGTTGCATCGGTATACAGTGCGAAATTTCATGAAAAATTTAATCATGTATTTAAATTGAAAAGTTACTCTAACGAATATGTTGAGTTTGCTCGCTCAACGTTCAGCCAGATGGCCGGAAGCATTGGTTACTTTTACGGCAACAGTTTAGTACGAGACGAAGAGGCCTTGCTGAATGATGACTCTTCGATATTGCGCTACTGGAAATCGGCTTTATTGACTTCCGTTCCTAGTAGATCTCAATTTCCTCGAGGTTTCTTGTGGGACGATGGTTTCCATGGTCTTCTGCTATCCAAATGGAGTACGGATTTGGAACTAGATATAGTCAGTCACTGGCTCGATACAATGAATTGTCGCGGTTGGATACCAAGGGAACAGGTATAAAAAAAAATGTTAATCAAATTTTGTTTTAGGTAAATTATTAGCCAACGTGTGTTTGCTGTATAATCTGATAAAGAGTATTAAATATGTTAATTACTATAAATAACAAACTTTAACGAAAATCATTAAAATCTTAAGTTAATACATACCATATTTTTCAATTAAATAACATTCTGGTTTCAATACAAAAAAATTTTTTTAAATTAAATAAAATTAAAATAAATAATTATTACTATTATTAGTACCAAAAAAAAAAAAAAAATTAATATAATTATAATTTTCTAAATGCATTTCTTCTTGAAATTAAGAAATAGTTATTATAAAAATAAAATGCATTATTTTTTTTTAAGTAACTTTAAGAACTACCTTCGTATTTATATTGAATATATTTAAGACTTAAAAGTGTTATATTTGTAATAATATGACATTTTTTTCAGATATTGGGGTCGGAAGCTAGAGTGAGAGTACCGAATGAGTTCATAGTTCAAAGTTCGACGGCTGCCAACCCGCCGGCTCTTCTTTTGACTATAGAATCGATTTTAGACAAATTAGAAGACAAAGAAAAATTCAGAGAAGAAAACTTCATAAAACACAGAGAAATACTCAAAATGATGTGGCCTCGATTACGCGCTTGGTATTCCTATTTTAACGATACACAGACAGCCGGAAACAATGATGAAGTTTTTCAAGGTTACAAGTGGCACGGTCGCAATGCTAGTTCATCGTATGAGTTAAATCCCCAGACTTTGACATCTGGAATGGATGATTATCCCAGAGCATCGCATCCTGAAAGCGCAGATTCACCAAGAAATGGCCCTCTGGATTATGAAAGGCACTTGGACCTCTTGTGTTGGATGGCTCGCGCCACGCGTATTATGTACAGGTTAGGTACATATTTGAATTTAGAAAATGAAAACAACGGAGCCGTAGACAATTATAGGGATCATTATCAAGTGTTGGTGTCAAACTTGGACCGCCTTCACTGGAGCGAGAGTGGCTCGATGTATGCGGACTATGGGTTGCACACCGATAGTGTAGAGTTAAAAAAAGTACGCAAACCAGAAGACGGTACTTTTGAATTTAGGAGAATCGTGTTGGAACCGCCCAAATGGCAGTATGTGGATACCCATCCTGGTTATAATAGTTTGTATCCTTTGTTAATGAGAATTGTACCATCCAAGAAAAAATTAAACGCCATTTTAGATATGGTTGAACGTGATTTGATGACAGATGGCTGTGGTTTGAGATCCCTAAGTAAACGCTCCAGCATGTACAATATGTACAACACGGAACATAACCCGCCGTATTGGAGGGGTCAAGTGTGGATTAATATTCAGTTTTTAACTCTGGGATCGCTGAACTATTACATGGCCGAGAGTAATAATATTTTCGATGTGAACGATCTCATTGACATTGATAAAGGAACGCGCAATAGGTGCCGTCAGCTGTACAACAAGTTGAGGGAAAACATAGTCGACTGTATGTACAATGAATGGAAGAGAACCGGATATGTTTGGGAACGATATAGCGACGATTTGGAAGAGGTTTGGGAAATAAACAAAGAGAGCGGCGGCAAAAGAAAACGTGTGTTAGTCCACAAAGGAATTGGAACAAGACCGTTTACCGGGTGGTCCGCAACCGTGCTGCTTATTATGGCCGAACTTTACTAATCGGTAGAGTTGGCACAAAAACCTGTATGTTTGGTTATAAATAGAACAAATAAAACCCTTAATTTTGAATTAATCAAAACATTTTCTGGACTAGATTAACATTTTTTTAATATTAATAAAATATTTTAATGATATTTCTGGCCAAAAAATTATTGTAATATATTTTCAAAATATTCAAATTTTTTGCCGTTTTTTTGGATTTATGTTTTTTTTCCCAACTCTACTAGTAGAGAGAAAAAGGTACTACCTGATTACACAAAGTTTATTCCTATCGTTTCACATATGTAAACATTTCAAGTTATTCGTTATGTATTTTTTTTGTTTATTAGGTAAATTTACTCGTATATCGTTTACCAATTACCATATTATTATATTTTTAAACTTCTATTATGGTCTCAACATTTAATGACTAATGTACATATTAATAGTACTCCTCGTGTTTTGTAAATTACCGGTTTCTTTATTGTTAATGTATCTCTTAAAAGGCAACGTACCATTAAAATATGTAAACACACAACACAACACTTGGTGAAAAAATACGAATCCCAATCACCCGTATGTATCCATATACTCGTAACTTCTTTTTTACTGCGGATACCTGTTTTTATTCTGTAATGTATTAGGTGTAAGCAGTTTTTAGAAAAAATGTATTTCAACTTAAACTATGTTGTATGTATTTGACTGTATTTTCAGTCTTGGGCTTGTATTTTTTAAATGTAACGAAATGTCATTACTGGTACGTTACTATCGTCGATTATGTAGTAATTAAATTACTTTGTCTATTATACACTGTGACTAAATTTTTGAAAAATAATTTATGCAAGTTATTACTTTAGTGTTATTTCAATATAAATTGTAACAAAATTACTTTGGCATTATTTAAATATAGTTATAAAGGAACTTTTAAAAAAATATTGAAAACTAAAATGCACTACTAAAAAAATACCCAAACACGAGAATAAAACATTCTTCATATTCTTTTGTTTTTTATTATAAAAAAATTGTTTGGCAATACTTATTAATAAATAAATTAACATTATAATAACATTTACTCATTATTTTAAAACCATATGCGACGCTCTGTTTAAATTACAATTGTATTGCCAGTTTGACCCTACAATATGCTATTTCAAAGAACATAAAAATTAAATGGTTGTTATTATGGTCTACCAATTTTTTTTACAAACTAGTATGCATGCATCTGATAATTCTTGATGGTACTGTGGCAATCTGTTTCTACTTTTTAACTCATTTTTAATTTTCCAAATTTCTTTAATTTCGTACCAGGCAAGAACTAATTTGAATAAAATCAAATCAACAAGGTTAACTTTTTTAGAACTAACAAAATTTAACTGTATATTGTTCAATATAATAAATTGTTTACAAATAAATAACAAAAAAAACATTTGATTTACAGTTGTGATAAACTTGTTAATTCCATAATTAAAAATTTAATTTACAATATTCTATAAACCAAACACCCCTTTACAAATATAATAATAATTATAAAAAGTTTCCTTAATGAATAAATCTATTTACAAGTACTTAATTTTAAGATCTATATTATAAAAAATATTTTTTAATTTTAAAGCAGTCTTATATTCAGTATAACTTATTCTTCTTCTTTTATACATTTTTCAACTACTTCTCGTAAGCTTGGATTTTCCATTGCTGCTGCAACCCTTTCTTTGTCATTAATTTGTTTATTGACTAAGAAAAAAAAAGAAATGCTTAATTTATTTATTCGATTTGTTGACACTTTTCATTGATTTTAATTTACTTTCTTCTTCTGTCGTATGGGCACCTTTTTTGATATAAATATCAAGTTTGACATTTTCTACAATCGATCTCAAAACTTTGATTCGTATACTAAGGCCGATTAGTGTCGCTAGACTGCAGTGTGGAACTGTCGGATTAAATTCTATTTTGATTGTACATAACTTCATGTCTGGATGGTTTATTACCTGGAAATATATTTGAAAAATGTAAAATAGTTTATTTTGTAACACACCACAAATTTTGTTAAAGAAAACTATAGTTAGGTTTGGATTAGATTAGCAATGAGTCTTTTATAAAGGTCCGCCTACATCAAGTCTGAAAACAATCACAGGTTACCAGGATCCAGAACCAAAATATCCCAGAAATTCATTTTTGATCTGGAACCAGGATTGTCACCGGTTTTTGACTCGGTGTACCAGTATACTGAAAATGATTTTCAAATATTTGGATGCCAAAACGGGTTTATTGAGTCAAGAACTGGGTTTAGCTTAACCAGCAAAAACGGTTGTTAAATTTGAGAATCTGAATAAGAATTTAGGTACTGACTTTAATTCCATCTTCATAAATAACATTTAAATCTTCAAGTGTTGCTGGTTTTTCAGGGTCTTTGATTGTTCTTATAAGATCTAATAAAAAAAAAAAATACTATTATTATATCCAAAAATATGCTCAACAAGATAGTTATTAATTAAACTCTTCAACGTGACATTATGACCTAAAGCGTGAACTAGTGAATAAAAATATAATATTGGTTCTGAATATGTCTCTTTCTTTAATACAGCTTCTCAGTTATTGTTTAAGTGTGTTTAGTATTAGCAAATCGCACAGCGATCTCTATTTCGAAATTATATAAAAACTAAATTCGATACATATTTTATTTTATAATATTATATTTTTTTTTAACGTGCAAGACGTACCATATATTTGATACTTAAGTTCTTGACTATTGCTTTCGGGTAGTTCGTTTGTATTTATTACATCACTAGTAATCGTCTCGTTAATGGGTTCATTTTTGAAATACTTGTCTTGTATTATTTTTTTCGTTTGTTGCATGAGAGTCGAGAACATCATCAACAAACCACTAATAGTCAAAATCATGAGCGGATATGTTTTGTTGTACTTGGACCAAGCAAAATATAATTATATAATACCGTCAGTGGCGGACGGTGGCAAATCAAATAGCACGTAAGTCTACAGTTTTGTAGAAAGAATAAACGTTTTGTGACCCTACATGTAAGAGGAAATAGTAATTATAGTTACTAGGGTCCACTAATCATGTATTAATCTTTATATCTTTTTTTTGCAAGTATATAAATTGATAACAATTGATAAAACGTGATGAGAGATGAGATATTGCTGAAACACTTGCATTATCCTTGGACCTTTGTAAATAATGTGTTATCAAAATTAAAAAAAAAACCGCTGATAAACTTATCACAATTCACAACCACAGACCATATTATTAAAATATGATGAAAATATCATATGCCCATTTTAAATATTGTTAATGACCAATTTTATACTAATTTAGTCTGTGCCACAATTGTGAATTAAAGTATTAATTCAGACACAACACTCATATTCAATAAAATTTTGCTTCTTTTGTTTTTTTTGTTTTAAAGAACGTCAAATTTTTTTGGATAAATAATATTATTGACTAACGTTTCTTCGAAAAAATGTTGGCGATGCTTAACCGACATTTACTTGGTAAGAGTCTCAACAGAATTCAATCAAACAGTGCCAGATTAATGTTGGCTAGTCAATCAAATTCGACATCAACCAAAAGTAATAGCGATTCGGAAGAGGATAATGTGCTTAAGGAAAATCCGTATTATGGAGTGTATGCCGAGAAGCTGCGTAAGTTAAAAGAAGAAAACTTGACAGCTTACAGAGAAAAAGTGGAAAAACTGAAATCGATGAAAAAACCTGTCGTCGACAAGTTGAGTAAAGAGGTAAACAATCTAATTACCGAAAAACAAACAAGTGAACCCGAAATCAAAGCAAAACCAGCCAGAAGATTATCTCAATCCTATTTAGTAAAACAAAAGAAGTTGGATGATGTGATGAACGTAGAGCTGCTTCAAGGAAAAAATGCCGAAGAGATATCCAAAGTGAGTGATAAAAATTACATACAAACTATCAATAAGTATTCATTGATGTACTTAATCGATGCTCGTTACATAAACTAATTTGTTTTATTTGCCTTATAAAAGGTAGTAGTTTGTTTTGTTGTTTTTGTTACGAAAGCTAATATGGTTCACCGATTTAAAACCAATGTGTAACCCAATAAAGTGGTATTCGTGGCAAAGAATGAAACCTGTTATTTTTCATCATTGAACCTGCAATCATATTAGTGTTGTACATAAATGTTGAAATAACTAGTTTTCGTAGAGTAACAAAACGTATTACTATTCGTAACAGGCGTGGTAATGATGATTACATGTGTTCCTTATTAGATTTGGATTCAGTACCACAAAGAAAAAAAGGATACCCCCGTCGTGTCTGCCGCAGTGCCGTACAAAAATTACAAATTGTTCTACAATAAATCCATTCAATATCCAATGGTACAATAAAAATAGAACTTTAATTAAAAATTTTGAAGTACAACAATAAAAAGTATAATATAATTTCAGTTTGTTTTACCATTGCCCAGAGGTGATCAAGGATACGAGTTCATGTTTGTGCAATTTCAACACAATGTCGATGTAAGCAATTGCACTGCACACTTGACGCCTTTAATTGCGTACCAAAAGCATAAAGAAAATGCACCCGAATGTATGTCCATAGAGTATTATTCTGATTTGATCAGAGAAAACGACGCTGATAATTCAACAGTGTTGATGCGATCGTTTTACGATTATAAATTGTTGGTAAGAAGAAATTTGTTTAATTGTTTTTGGTATGATGAAGCTTTGATAAAATTTATAGTTCAAAAGATTAGTATATATATATTACACTTGCTTTATCAATACATTTCACTGCAACGTCATATTTTACGGGTGTGATAAATTGTTGCATACTCATCTGTTTTATTTGTATAAATTAGTCTCCAATGGAAGCGACCTGTCTGGTTAATCAACTCCGAATCTTCTATGAGAACAAGAACACAAGACACGAGACGCTATTGAAATTGTTCAATGAAGGACATTCAGAGTTCCATTATTCGGATGTCATAGCTTGTGTCGAAACGCTTTCTATTTAAATTAGATATATTTAAGATTATTGTTATTGTTTTGTTTCGTTAATTAAATTTTTTTTTGCATTGGTTTATTGAAACAATTTTTTGAAAGTAACTATAAAAAGTATTTGAGTAATTTGATAAACAAGTTATTATCAAAACAACAATTGAATAAAATTAACGTTTAATAGAAATAATCAACAATTTGTATTATTAATTATTTTGTAGTTATTCTTGAATGTTATAACTGTTTAAAAAATTAAGAAAATATTTTAAAAACACAAGTGTGATTTGCTATCAAAATATTACTTTTTTAATATTTTTACAAATATTTAATAAACATTATAGGACAAATAATAATATTTATAAATTATTTATTCAAAAATTTGAATAGTGAATTCTTGATGTGTTTTATAAAGTAACTCAAAATTAAATTTATTGATTATTTCTATGAAAACTGAAATTTTTGTGTTTGTTCTTTTTATTGCAACATGACTGATAGTGGTACGTTAAATAAATTCATATCAATAGCTAAATATTTTCCTAAGCATAATAAACATGGTTTGAAATATAAAGTAGGTTCTACTTTTGACCTTTAACAAATAGGAATAGGTTTAAACAAAATTATAAAGGTAATTAATGCTAAGTACAAGCACCTTAAAAAGTATATTTAAAGTACTTCTACTCCAATAGTACATACAACACTAATAAAAGTATATATCCAAGATACAACTACATAAAGCTATTAAATTATAATTTTAGGATAGTCGGGATGGAAGAAGAATTAAAGTAAAAGTAAAAAAATAGCAACATTAAACCAACATATGATTTTAAAAAAACACAACAACAAGTTACAATAAAACATAATTAAATAAAAATTTATTTTCAAGCCATGGCAATAATAATAATAATGAAGGCGATTGAATTTTATGAATATTATAATATACAGCATAATAACAATGTGAAAATGTAAATATTTTTTTTTTAGTAAATACATATGTATAATTATTATATTTACATATGCCTATAATAACATAATATTAGGTCGGTAAGATGATTAATTATAAATTAAGTCAATAATGTAGTTTTTATTTAATAATTATTTTGAGGAAGGCATTGAAAAAAAGACCACATTGTCTATCAAAATAATTTTCAATTTTTATAACGTTAATATTAACTTTACGATAATTTTTTTATGGAATAATTAGGTATAGGTATTAAGAAATACCATTCAATTGATAATATTTATTATGTAATGCAAATAAGTATCAAAAAGCGTGCGATGAATGTCAAGAAAAATGTACACGCCTGATACGAAATTCTGGGTAAAAAATGTTTATAAAATATTCTGATATTATTAAAAAAATATTAAAATTAGTTTGCCTACAGGGAATTCATTTTTGTTAATAACAATAATGGAGTAAAAGTTAAAATACAACGAAATGAAAGCGAGTATTGAGCGATTCGATGTACCTACGCAATATCCATATTATGTAGGCTTCTACTTGGTAAAAAGAATACATTTTGTATTAACATAGGTAATTCAAATTATAACAGGTAAGCATTTTTGTCTAAATAAACGACTAGAAATTTATCAAGTTAATAAAGTAATACATTTTTTTGTTTTCAATGTTTACGTGTAATTGTGATATATTTTACTAAAACTAATAGTTTTATTAATATGTATATTTTATTTACAGTATGTATTTTAACAATAGTAGTTTGTAATCATAATTAATATAATTATAATTGTAGGTATATAATATAACAAACGCATTACGCAGGTAATAATAATCTCAAAGCTGGGCGAAACAAACTAAATTATTTTTCAAACTAGTTCGTTTTTTTTTTAATAAGAAGTAATGTAACTAAGTTAAAAGTATTTTGAAAAAATACTAACATAAGATTACGGTATAAAATCCCATTCTAAATATTTTCTTACAAAAAATTACTACTTCTAGTTTGAAAATGTTTTTTAACATCAATAACGTATAATATATTAGCTCTATTCTCAAGTAATTATTACGGTAGACATTTGTTTCATCACCGAATTTTCACATTGTAAACAGTTTTACAGTGGAGAGTATTTATATCATTAACTTATTGCTGTTTTGAGAAATAGGTAATTCTATAATAAAAAGTAATTTGTTAAGTTAGTAAACAGCTAACCGTAGTAAGTTATTACATCCTAATAGTAGGTAGTTTTTAACTTGAATTTATAACTCTTTGATGCCCAGCTTGGATGAAAATATAATATGGATTGATTGAAAAGTAATATGAATTATAAATTATTAATAATTATTCACATCCATGAAAATGGTTACGTGTTTTAAAACTTTCTAATTAGGTAAGCGCGATAGATTATTATAATTATGATGAAATACACATGATTTTTTTGTTTTGTATGAGGTGTATATTATAATAAATCGTTTATAAAATAGGACTGTAACGATAAAATATAAAAATTAAAAAGTCGTCGTAGGTATATGATTAGGCGGGTGGTTTATACGATGCAGGTAGGTACCTATTTAACAAGGATATTATATTTAAAAAAAAATGATAAAAATCATAAAGATATAATAGATTATTATTGTTGTGAACACATTCATCCCGGTACGACGGTCCTGTTCAAGTGGCCGGTACTTGTGGAGTAGACGAAGTATGGTCTCCTCCCAAGGAAAGGGCTTGCACGATTCTCGGGTCCGCTTTGCTTCCTTCCCGGAACTCTTCCAAAGTAAGTTTGTCGTCGTGGTTTTTGTCCATCTGGTCAAAGATTTTGTCCACTCTCTTTTGCGGTGTATTCTCGTCCTCGGCCTGGGGCTGCTGACCCTATGAAACAGCCAAACAACTCAATATTACATTTTAATTTAAGTAATATTTATTTTCTAAAAAAATATCAGTATTTTATTATTTTTAATTATAAATATTTTCCCCGGCATTTTCAGCAAAATTACGGGTTTTGTTTTATTTTTTTTCAGTAAAACATTTTTTTTATGAAACTTTGATTTTTGATCACCGTTTAAGTGATCTTTTTACAACATTTCACTGGAACTAAAAGAGACGCAATGTATTTTATGGTATACACCTATGTAATAACTAATAATCAATATGATTTATTTAAACTTTAGCAAGATTATTCCCGAATCGAAACATGTATTATATTTTGTAATCAACTAAATTCTAAAATATTATTGTAAGGAAATGTCAGTAAAAAAAAAGTTTACAGTATAAAAATATTCATTAAAATTTTACGACTAGACTTAACACCTTAATCCTGGCATTATTAATTATATGCTTACATGGATAAAACATGTTTTTTACATTCTGTGTATAATTTTAGTCATATTTCCTCAGATTCGTTAAAGATGTCACTTGTCAAATGGCTTAACCTTTTGAGTCACGCATCATTAATATTTTTTTTAATTATTTTGACCGTGGTTTCTATACATAATACTACTATGATACAAAGAATTAAAGATGAATTATGTATTTTGCATAACTTTATTAGTTATTTGCTATTAGTTGTATGCATGGTAATTCATCAATACAAAATATTTCAAGCTTATATAACAAATATATTGTATTGTGTTTACCGAGTAATATATTAAAAACAAAATTCGTAGAAAAAATGAACAATTTTTATTTGTTGTTAAAATAATTTTAAAAAAAATATTAAGTATTTGTTATTTAAATAAAAAATACCAGTAATTATGAACCGATAACTATTTTACTAGACCAAGGGCGTTATTAAAAATAAACACACCTTATTAAAGTCAATGTTTAATGATTACTCAAACGCACAATTATTTCTAAGAACTGCTTCATAAAATATTCGGTTGTAAAAAAAAATCTACAAAAGTAGAGTGAATTAACGGGGCTAATGGAAACGATATTTTTTGTACATGGTAATAAATTAATAGTTTTCAATTTTAATCGAATACTTTTAATTATAGTATAATATGTTTTAATGTTATACCATATTTTTTACTTCATAGTAATTATTTTACGTTCTATTTATTATGATAAAAATTAAGCGGTGAACATTTTAATAGAGGTTACATTTATACATTAAGGAAATGTTTTTTTTACAGACATAATTACAGTTACCTATGTGTTATGACTTATGTGTAAATTGTAATAGCTAAATATAATCGAATTAAATTATTTATTTGATATTTACCAATATATACGTTTCCAATTATTGTTTTCCACAAACTCAAGGTAAACCTGTTCGCGAAAATACTTAGTTTTAAATTATCACCAATTAATCGTACTTGAAATCATAGTTTTTAGTAGGATTTCTACGACATAACCAACACAACAGGCGCTGTACTATGCCATTTTTTACATTAGTTTAAAATAAAATTGAAAACATAAAAATCAATTTCAATGATAACTATAAATACAGTGCTCAATAAAAACCAAGTAAAAAGGCCATAGTTAGTGAAAAAATAGGCGTTTGTTCTACTGAGGTCAACCGATTACAAAATATTATACCGACCTACGGCAAATGGTATTGCCGGTTTTAACATTTTTTTTTTTTCATTAGATTAATTATTTCCGATAGCATACTCAGCTTTCTCAGGATCATAAACTCTAAAATATATTTACTATCATTATTTTAAATGTATGCATGTTTTATTCTTAAAAACAGGTTTAATAAAATTTGGAAAAATAACTGTCTGGAGAGATTCTATAAAATTATGTAAATATGCGTTCTTAATACTTAGAGCCCAAATGGTTGTACATACAATTTTTATAGCATCACTATTATAATTTATTTACATTGCATAACACATTTTATTTTACCCAAGAGTGTATTTTGTATAAGGTCACATACTAAATGTGTGCATTAGTTGTAATTTATTCATTATTATTATGTCCTAATTTTGATGTAATTATTTTGCTTATTTTTAAATTACTTTTATTACTGCCACATTACTCAAGTAGCGGCATGCAATTATGTGTTTTTTTTTGTAAAAATAGTTTTGTATTATCATATTTGTTTGTATAAAATAAAAAATTTGATTTGAAAAAAATGTATGATGTTTAGCAATTTTTAATCTACGCTGTATCATACATATCTTAAGACAACAAAACATGCGCTTTTACGATTAATCAGTAAAATTTCCAAGTCTTAAGACCCTGTAAATGTATTTTTTTTTTTAAATTACACACAGCATGAAAAAACACTTTTTTTAGATCTTATACTATAATCTAAGCTACTGTAATAAACAAAGTTTGTCGACTTTTAGTTGAGTAAAATAACGATCTAGGGTATCCGAACATGCATGTATTTTATTTGTCTATGTTAAACAGAAACTAACGATATAAATCATAATAGATAGTTTTTGTCGAATATAAAAAAAATAAAACGTTTCGGATTTATTGCATTATATACCAAACCTTAGTTCTTTTTCAGTTAAGTTGGCAGTTAATATTCAAGGTCTCGAGATTTGCCCCTCATAACAATATTATATATATTTATCTTACACCTATAAGACTACATTAGAAAATATTATGATTTAAAGAAGCGAAAACAAGTGGTAACCGTATGCATGTGGGTATGGGGTATGACGAATCAGGAAAATTTCCCGCCAGAGTATGATTTATCTAGGATTAATATGAGGCAAAATATGACTAATATTTATATAATAAATAATATTATTTAGTATGCGTCGCACTTTAAATTGAATTTGTGATAAGTAAAGATGGTACTAATTTTAATATTTTGATGAAATATGAGATTTAAAAAAACGAGTTGTGATGTTGACTAGGTATATACAATTATTAAGGCTAGGTTTTATGCATTGATGTATTTTATCGTAACATCAATTTACCAATTTGGTTACTATTTTATTAATGTAAACGAATTTTTTCATATTGTAACCAAACAACAATAGTTTTTTTTGCATGTTTTGAGAATAAAGCTTATTATTACATAATAACAAAAAAAAAAAAATTTACAAAAAGGTAAAAAAGTTGTCGATGTTTCGGTGATGCTAATTATAAATAGTCGTATAATAATTATTATATAACTACTTACTATATAACTATTTGTTTTAACAACTTTTTTTGTAAACGTGCAAATCGGGAAACTGACTTGCTCATCACGTTACGGTAGTTCTTGTATGGGTAATTCTTGTATAATATTGAAATTAATTTTAAAAAAAATCTTTCAAATATTTATATACTTAGTAATAATAAATTATTATTTTCATATTTACAAAAAGGTAAAAATTGTTGATGTTTCGGTGATACTAATTATAAATAGTTGTATAATAATTATTATATAACTATTTGTTTTAACAATTTTTTTGTAAACGTGCAAATCGGGAAACTGACTTGCTCACCATGCCACGGTAGTACTTGTATAGGTAATTCTTGTATAATATAAAAATTAATTAAAAAAAGATATCATTCAAATATTTATATATTTAGTAATAATAAATTATTATGTTCATAGGTTATTTTTGATAAGATAAGAAAGAAATTATATTTTTATGATTTAACAGTGAATTTACTTATTTTTTACTCATAACATTTAGAACTCATATGATGAAATGTTTTTTTTAATAATACCGCCAAATCACCGTTTGTTACGCAAATGCTTAGGTTAAAATCCCCCCCCCCCACTAAATTTGGAAAAGACCCCATCCCTGGAGAATATTGTCTGAAAAAACACTGAATATTGCTGGTATCATGAAGAGGCATCATATTTATAGGAATAACAAAACATTTTTAGAATTGTAGTACCATTTTAAAACTTTAATAACTTTATTTTCCCAAAAGTAAAAGGAAAAAGCGACATACCATCTGTGCTACTCTGTTACAAATACAGTTTATATATTATTATTTTATAATATATAATTTATTATATAACACAGGGTGATGTATTTCACGAAAGACTCGTTTTGTTTTTAAAATAATTACAATTTTGAAGTGATTTTGTTTTGGATACATTTTATAGTTAATGTTATTTTACAGTATCAAGCTTTTTTTCAAATATTATAGAGTTCTCTCAATTTTTGCAATTTAAATAGTAACGTATACTATATTTGAAAAACTTTTTAAATTCAGAATAATTTACTAAAAATGTTGATTGGTCGTTGACCAGTTTTGACTAATCGTTTTTTAAGTTATTAGAGTTTATCATACTACAATATCATATAGTTGTGCTTGTCTATGTTCTACTATGTCTTACACGTTAATAGGCGGTGTCCAAAGAAACCCTCTTCGAAAAATCTGCTTTGGTCGCCCAATTTGATTTTGTAACGCCGCCCGACCGTTCGGGGCGTGTTTTCTTATTGTTTTTATACAAGGTGTGAACTCACTGTGTTATAGTGTTAAAGGTAGTAATGGGTCTGCAGTACTGCTCCTGTCAGTAGTCATATTCCTCGTACTCCTCGTATCCCGTGTCGGCTGTGATGGGCGCGTAGCTTACCGGGGCACGGCGGTAAGTCGAAAAAAGCCATTGTCGGTTGACTACCATACACCCGTACACAGCGAACTCGAACGCGGCGATAACGTACAGCACGTCGAACATCATGCCCAACACTGGTTATGCCAACGGGCATACCCGTTGTAAATAGGTACGTTATAGTACGTAGGCAAACCCGTGACTTTTGTGTGTGCCAACGCAATCGGTATGTGCTGCCGCTGTGCCGTCAGGTGGTTCACTGAACTATTGTCAATTGGAAAACCAACCGGGTTTTCCCGCTAAACCTGTTTCGCCACTTTTTTTTTCAGAACCATTGAAACAATTTTTATTATGCATACTTTTTAATCGCATAATAACATAACTGTAATCCGTATAGCGGCGTTTATGGTTTTAAAATTCCCACCTAACAAAACCTACCGGAATATTTCGGTAACGGTCCGAAAACTAATAGTTATAACTGAATTGTAAATTTCGAAAAGGTCCCAAATCTGTTTTCTATTGTGAAGAAAAAAACTATATATAAAATTCATAAAAATAAAAGGACATGTAAAAGAATTCAGTTTTTTGAGTTTCCTGAAAAATTTTAATTTTCCGATATGAGCCCTTTTCGAAATTCCCAATTCAACTATAATATTATAATAACGCTATAATTAATCATTTTTTTTAAATATATTTTTTGAATTAAAAAAAAATAATTAATAGGTGTTTTTTTTTCTTCAATTTCCTTCATGTGTGGTAAAATGAACTATAATTAGCACTCGTCATTAATAATTGTATTATTTAAAAAAATTATTAAGCATAGCCTACGATGCGATCGTATGTATGGCTTCGGTCTTAAAAGGATAATATGCTGATCTTATTATTATTGTTGTTATTATAAATGAAAAGACCTACAAATTATTCAGTTCAGCTATAGATCAAGCTGAACTGAATAATTTGTAGGTTGATGTTTTCTTAACATTTAGCCTGTGAATTTTATCGACGTGCATCTTTCAATCTTATAAGAGTTAAAATTTAAACGATTAATGTGGTAAAAATAAGTCGTATGTAATATTTTAAATACTACATTTGTACACACCTCAGATAGAAGGAACTAAAAATTATATTTATACAAAGAACAAAATATACCAGGAGTAGGTACCTAATATTTAATACTTCCAGTAGGCTGTTGTTTACGCTGTTAAACCAAAATGAATCACAGTTATTTTATGAAGGACACAGGGGAAAAACGGTAGTAGTCACATTATGAAAATTTTAGAGTATAGCAAAAACAGAGTTCGTAAATTCCTCTCCTTCTTATATAAGAACAAAAAAAATCACAATAAATGCTACTCTAATAATAAATGTATTTATTTAAACAATCTATTGACATGAATAAAACAAATTAATGACATAAATTGAAAAAAAAATGTTCATAATGTGACTACTACCGTTTTTCCCCTGTGCCCTTCTTATATTTTATACCTTAGATAAACGTACTCTGCTAGTTGTAATCGATTTTAAATACAATTTTTTTTGTTTTTATATTAATTGAATTATGTACAAGTAGTATAATGTATAATTGCATCTTATAACTGTAAAATATAGTCAATCTATTTTGTATTTATATGAGTCAGACAAAATAAAAAATTGGCAAGTATTTTATCCAACAAATTACCATTTAACCCACTTGCTTAAAATTACCCCGCTGACTTCTTGACCTTATAAATAAGAAACAAATGACAATGTAACACGGTTAGTATTACATTGTCTGTCCGTTAAAATTTTATTTCGAATTTTCACATGTTATATCCTCTCATAATATCAGTATGAATAATTTTAAGCAAGCTGTATGATGACCAAAAAAGAAATCGGGGTCACTAGTGTTCCGGGTATTATTTATCTAGGTAAAAGTTGTTTAACTTGTTTAGCAGGTAATATAGCATTACATTATCGAGTGCGGCAGTCTTATTCTGGCCGAAAAACCGGCATGAATAATAAGAAAACAAAAAAAAAATAAAGTTATCAAATAAAAAAAAAAATTTTCTTAGGAGAAGTCATCAGTATTGAATATTTATATTTTATAATATTGTTGTTGCATTATATTTATTTATTTTCGTTGTTACACAATTACCAAAAATGAATAAAAAAGCAAAACCTAGCTTACAAGATAAATTAATTCAAGAAACAAAAAATTATAGAACTCCTTAAGAGAAAGAAGTCTTAGGAAACTTGATGGCTTATGATGGGTTAACCTGTAATAACCTGTTATAACCTGTAATAGATAGATAGACATTCATGTTTCTGGTTTCTGTTTCTAATTTTTTTTTTTTTTTTAGTTAAAGCAAATTTTGTAAATCAATAAGCATTAGTTATGGTGATTGTGAATAGGGGCGCCATGCTTTAATATTTGTTTTGTCGATGTTCACCGTTTTAGGAGGAATTAACTTGGATCAGGACATTTCCGAAAGTTTTTTTATATTAGGTATTTAAATAAGTCCTGAATTTCTATCTAAACACCTATACCGACATGGTTATGTACCTCCTTCTTTATGTAGTTGGGTAAACAATTTACATAAAATCTAAATCTAAAATATTATGTAATTGAATATACAATATACTCGATGACCGTACTCAATGTCAACTGAAGGAAAAATAAAACAAGAATTTCCTTTAATAGTACTTTTTATTAGTTTTATCGACATTTTCAGTTGGTTATTGTGTTAAATATTCTGATTGAGTAGGTTGACTATTTTTAAAAAGTCTACTTATCGATTAATTTTCTTAAGTTTATGCTACTAATTTGAAAAGTATCTAGCCATTGTCGAAAAGGTTTTTTTTAGTTTTAAAACAATATTATAAATTAGAATAACGTGGGTCATATTAAATACACATCCGCAACGGTTGATATTAATTCGTACTATTTTTTTTTGTTTTTTAGAGTTAAATGAAATTGTTTTTATAGAAAAAACTGGTCGACAGTTAAAGTGTGAAAACTGTCAAAATTAAAGCCCTGACGACCCGTGAGATGATAGATGATTTACTATATGTGTTGTTGAGTATGCCAAGCCTCTAACTGTATATTATTTTCTAGAGAGAAAAAAAAACAGAAAAATAGAAAGAACGACACGCATGGGAAATTAGATTTCCATGTATACATATATATATATATATATATTTTGTCATCGGTCAAAAATTGTTTCTTTTTTCTGTTCGGTTTTATTGTCGTAGCGTTTTTGACGTTTACGCTTCTTCTCCTTAAGTATTTTCCCGCAAAACCGACACAATACCCTCGGACTTATACGACTTTTGTGCGGATAGAAATATACTACCGCACATAAGGTTTCTGTATATTTGTATAAAATAAAATACATACAATATACATACACAGTTGAACGGAGGAAAATTGAAAAGCTTCATACTTATTGTTATTATTTTTCTTTTTTCAGAATCCCCAGTGTTCCGAAAACCCGTTAATACGGTTTTTAGCTTGGACACGAAACTCAAAAGGTATATTGGTTGCGTTTTTATTGTATTTTTTATTATTATTATTAGGTATTTTCGTACGGTACTCACCACCATCTGGTATATCGCGTCCACTATGTTGTACATCTCGTCTCTTGTTATGAAACCGTCGTTGTCTACGTCGTACAGTCGAAAAGCCCCTGAGCAAGAAAACACAAAAATCAAATTTGATACTATACAACGGTTATTGTGGCCTAAAATCATTGAGTTTAGGACACGCTTATAATAATTATAATCACAATTATCGTGATTAAAGCTAAATATATTGTATTAATTTGTAATTGTTGTCGTTGTACTGTTCTGTAATAGATGAAGAAATTTGTGTTGGTCAAATTTTGTTTGAATTGTGAGTTCAGGTTAGATATAATTTTCAAAAATGTGTCGACAAAGTAGAACATTAACATTTATTGTTAGTAAATTTGGTATTCACAAATGCGTTTTGGGGTCGAGGAGCGATAGATTTAAACAATTATCTAGTTATATTTTCTTAGCATTCAATTCACAACTATCACATTGGTTTACCGTATTATTATTGTCTGCAAATTACGCAGGTGGAAATCATTTAGCCTGTGTAGTGATGAAACGTCATATCGCATTCTATAGCTGATCTGTGTATACAGTGTATTTTTTTTTTACCTTGGCTTACCTTATCGTATACCTTGCGGTTGGTGCTTAATGCCTTAATAGTTAATATTAATATTATTTATGGATTTTTTTGTTTATTCCATATTGCCTATGATACTTGTACCTGTTGCGCAGGAAGATGTAAGTATCTGTTAATTGTTTTTTATGGAAAACACACTTGGCTAAAAGTCCCACGTGCATGTTCATACAATATAAATATCACTGTAGTTATTTGGGAATAAACAGTTTAATGTTATATTGTAATTATTAATATCCACTTAAGTTACTAGTGCGGAAATTTGAATGGCCAAAAAACGACACACAATACTATTTTTAAATCTTGAACAAACCTAAAATGATTAACAGTCAACAGAATAACTAAACAGCAATATTGTAGGGAACAACTTGTTAAAAAGCAATAGTTAAATTAATTTTGCCATTTCATTTTTGTGGTGGATGGTATTTTTTCGTAGTTTATCATTTATTATATTAGGGCTATAATACGAACAAACTTTTTATTTGTACTTACTTAACAAAATAATATTTTATTTATATATTTATTTGATATTTTATTCAAATTAATAATTATTTTATTTAATTTAAAGTTGATGAAAGTGGTTAAAATATTTCTGTACCTATTAAAATTGTTTTTTTTCTTTTTAAATGTTGAATTGCCAAGTTTGCTTTAAACGCTAAAAACGTCAAAAAAATGTATTAATCAAGCATGAATAATTCATACATACATATATATATATTACTTCATTGAACTAGGAAGTTTTACGAATGTTCTTAAAAATCAAGTACGCGTATGTCTTAACCGTTAAATTTATCGCAGTTGCTTGCACAATCCAGCTAGACATGTGTTGGAACTTTAACGCGCAATAAGTTATTATATAATTATTATTAACTATACTTCCAGTTAGGCACATGAGTCCGAGGCCAAACGTTGGTGCCGTTTATAATCCCAAAGATAAATCTCAATTCTTGTTCTCGAACAAACAAAACCGCATTAAGTTTTCGGTTCTTTTTAATTATTATCACCCCCATCTTGAATGTGTTTACTTGAGAATACCTAACACAGTTTTTCTATTAACCTCGAGTCGAAAACTTATCCAACTCGGGCCCAGATCGTGCGTCACAATTTAATAATATTATTTTATTATTATTATTATTGTTATAATGGCAAAACCAATTACTGCACCATACCATAAAAGTTTTCATTTTATTATTGCATAAGGGAAACAAAAAAAACATTAAGTTGACGGGTTGTCATCGATCATAAAGTTCATTCTTAAAAAGTTTTTTTTTTTGTTCTGGTAAGTAATCAAGTTATATATTAGGTAAATTAATTTCATATTTTTCAAAAAAGTTTTCGAAGAGTCATCATTACTAGTCATCATCGTACTATAGTAGCAATATGGTGTAAGAGTAGATACATACTGCCATATCATTTTGTTTAAATATGTTGAAACCTGTTTATGAATATTAATAGAAATTACTTCATTTGAAGATTTCGTTTATTATATACATTACCAAAATAGTATTAACATAAACGTTAAAGTTAGTTATTAACAGTTAATACAAGCCTTAGATAAGTTTATTAGTATGGAATAAATTCAAATTTAGTACAAAAAAAGATCATGTTAATTGATATTGCGGTTATTATTTATTTCCCATTTTTGTATCTAGCAATATTATCTGTTGATTTTTCTAAGTTCAAAATGTTTTACTTAACAACTAGCTATGCCCGCGTTTAACGTATATGAATAAATTGCTATGTAAATTTAAAAAAAAAGTCACTTGCTGCTTTCTAGTCGACTTATAAAACCAGTTTGTTACAGTCATCAGGCGTGTAGATATAACGGAAGAAATTTACATATGAAAACGACACATAGTATTATGGAAGTGGCAGTGCATTTTATAGCCATTAAAAATATACTAAAGAAAATTAGGAAATTCTAATTTTTGTTTTTTAAGTTGTAAATAAAATAAAATAAAAAATATCTTTCCAGCTCCGCGTCGAATCCAAAATAGTTATAAAATTCAGATTCAGCGAAAAAAATCTATGTGTTTTGGTCCTTGTTCCAGAACAGTGTTATACAGGTTATTATTGTATATAACATGTTATGCGTACAAACTGTAGTTAAACTGGGCATGGTCACATAATATTCGACGTGGATATTTTTTAAACACAATTCTCAATAAATTCTGATAATTGATTTTTCCCGAGCAAGGGATTCACTTAATACTTTGCGTTCTATGTACAATAAAGGTATTAACCCTTTGTAAAACACTTTAAGACCGCTTTGGCAATAGATTTATGTGTAACAATATGCGTAAGCATGTCGAATATAGTTTTAAAGCTCATATGTGAGACTTAAATACTAAAATGTGACCTATAACATTTATTTGTATATCCCAAGCGTGTTATGCTTTTAAAAATGAAATAATATGTTAATGTTATACAGAGTGTATTTTTATAGCAGGTCACTCAATATCTCACTGGGCTTAATTAATAATCTTATTTTTTTTTTGTGGTGTTTTTTTATAAAGTGACCTCAATTTTCCTTTAATTTTTATGTTCCTACCCCCTCCCAAATTGTTTTTTTTATAGCAACTTTTGACACTTAAATGGTAATGTATAATATAAATATGTATAATTGATTTTTTAAATTAACAGTATTTTACTAAAAATTTTAACTGGTTGATAACCAATTTTTTTCAAAGTTATAAGAGTTAAAATGTTAGGACGAGAAGGGAAGTGCGCGCAGACTAAAGTAATACTACACTCCACCTTTCCTACTGCCCTAAGCTTGAAACTTCAATAACTTCAAAAATAATTATCCAAAACTGGTGATCGACCAGTCAACATTTTTAGTAAATTATTCTCAATTTAAAAAGCTAATAAAATGTGTGCATTACCATTTAAGTTTTAGAATTTAATAAAAAAAAATTAGTTTGGGAGAGGGTAGGAACATAAAAAATTGAGATCACATTATATGAAAACACTATTAATCAAATATTAATTAAACCCAGTGAGATATTGAGTGGCAGTGATAAAAAAAATCACTCTGTATAGTGTCTACTATGTGCAATCGATAATGTTTTTTTCATAGTTAATAAATTATTATGTACGTCTTCTAACCAGAATACGTCATTTAGTAAAGTGACAAATTGATTGAAGACGATTGCAATAAATTCTACATTCTTATATGTACATCTATGTTTCGTATTATATTAATACTATAAGTATTACATTCCAGTATCTTATCGCATTCAGACGTAACGTTAGAGGTTGCAAACATATGCCCATGAGACCATCAACTATGATAATGATGCGTAACAAGTAGCTATAAATTCGCCCGATAAGATAAAAACTACAAACATGCTCACTACTAGTAACACTGTTTTATGGACTTTTGTCTTTATCCATTGCAGTCAGTTATTTATGTCAATAACGCGGTTGCGAATTCTCTACTAAAAATATGATATATTTTGTAAGAGACTCTAGTAAAGCAACATAATAAATATATGGAAAATATAAAATTAATTTTACACATCCACAGCTCTCATAGAGGCACCGCAAACGGTTTAGAGTAGATGACATTGCTAAACAAATTGAGCAAAGTAAACAAAAACTGGTAATTGTTTTTATATTATCATAATTCTCTATTTATATAGGATAACAATATTCTGAACCTAATAAATTTCCCGTGGCACCAGCTGTATATCAACAAAGTTGAAATTATGAAAACATAACGGTATTTGTATAAGCCAAGTTTGTTTTTAATTAATGTACGTTAAATATATATATAAAAAAAAAAATGTTAACTGTGACAGGGTTTGTAAATGGCGGGTTTCGATATTAATTGAATAAAGAGTTGCCTCAAAATAAAGGTGTACTTTTAATTAAAAAAAATGAAATTGACAAAATATATAATGACTTACGCGCATGCATAATGCGGTTACATTTGACCGTTGGTAATTAGAACTTGTTTGTTTATACAATATATATTCTATAGAAAGTAAAAGCCCCGAAACTAGTATTATACTATGCTAATTTGAAATCGGTTTGTAGTAATTTATTAATTTATACATACGTAGGTATTAGGTATGTGTTGTTATTATTTATTTCGGTAAGCATATTACAAAATTCATACTTGTACAGATTGCCGATAAATTAATTATTATTAATAAATAAAGCACAAGCTTTTGCATCGATTTAAGTGTACCTGAACTAATCTTGTGCCTTTCCATTGTTAATTATTTAAATAATAATTCGATCAGCCAGCCTTATAGTATAGTTAAACGTGGTAATAAACAAATCAACTACAGTGTGGTTGACTATTCATAATAATTTATATTAGAGTTAACTTACTCACTAAAATTAGTTTTTATTAGGGTTGGGAATTTAAAATTCCGGATAAAAAAATGACTTCCTATCTCGTCGTATATTATATAGTATTATATAATATACATGTCTGAAACAATTGGTTTTATACAATTTAGTACTGCG